TAGACTTAATCACCTAGACACGTTCGAGATTTTGCAAATCAAACAACGTCTAAACCCTAAAGAACCAATGGCTCCAAAACTTGAACAGCGACTGTATTACTAAAGATTTGATCCAATGTTGGGTGCTACTGGCTTACAACGTTCAGCTACTAGATAAAATGAAACAACATAAATTCCATATGGTCATACTGCTCGAAACGATACAGTTTCTGCAGAGAGTATCAACTACAGACAACCAGCTTTAGTCTGAGAAGATCCTGAGACGGGGAAGCAAACGAAGTAGCAGTTTATCATCTCACATTATTCTGATTCTCGCTAAATATAAACAAACCGAGATCGTGCTATACTTCAGTACGCCCAAAGACACGCGAACAGAGGAATCCAACTTACTGCGATATATTATTACTCTACATATGCAAATAAACGAAGTCACTGGACGAGAAATCTTATAAAGATGTTGACCAAATAGGTACTGAAGCACTTTGAAAAACAATGAGAAGGGGAGTAGGCAGTATCTCAAAAGAAAACGTGAATAAGGTGCAGCGCAGTTTCACTATATATTGGTCCTTTTACAGAATAGATCTATGACAGCTTCGCATTTTCCTTCTGAGGATACGTTGTGATTTGCAAAAACAAAAGAAATTTTAATGAAATATTTTCAGAAAAACATTTTCTTACCCGGTCCAAAAAACATTGCAGAAACCATTTGGTAGTATATAACGCGGTGTGAATATCACAGTCGTTCTGAAAGTTAAGCAGAAGTTAGTTGCGCAGTAATCTATGTCTGTGTCTATGCCAAGTCAGATTCTTACTAAGTGCTGTCGTAGTTTAGGTAACAATGACTTCAGGATCGTGTCGTGATGCTTCTGCAAACGGAACAACTTTGGAAAGCCGGGGGCGAACAGGCCGTACATGGAGTGCGTCTGATCGGTCATGAGAGCGTGCAGTGCCCAAAACGCGTCCTAAAGATATGAACGTACGCTTAAGTTACTAAATATTACTCATGTTTGTCTAAATTACACAAATCTACACACACAGGACGATATCAAATAGCACAAAAATGTACAGAATCTCTGCCATTTCGTTTTACATTCGATCCGTCGTCAGGGAATGAAATCAGACGAAGTTGCAGATGCTGTACATAATGAAGTATAAAAGACTTCAAAAATTCTACATAAATTATATACACTATATAAAACACGCCAAAGACTATCATCATCATCGTCAGGAGTCTTTCATGGTTTACTGCTGGATAAAGGCCTCACCACGACTTTGCCACAGACTTGTTTTCTGTCAGGCTTATACTCATGTGAATCCAGCGAACTCTTCAGCTTATCCTATCTCGATCTAGGGATGTTCCTGAAAGCCGTTTGCTCTCTTCTGGAACCAAGTCTAATGTCTCTTTGGCCCAGCGATGGTCGGTACTTCTTGCAATATGTCCTGTCGAATGGCTCTTCAACTTCTTGACTCGGACTTCTCTTATTCACGTTTCTGTCCATTCATTTGTCTTCCAGCCTTTTATCGTTATTCCTGACATCTTTCGATGCTGCGTTGCGTACTCTGCCGTCTATGAATATCTTTCGGGCATAGGGTCCAACCATAAGTGGGAGTACGCACTGATCGAATATTTTCAGTTTCAAGAACAACGGCAGTTTCCCTGAGAATATTTTCATAATTCCAAAAATACTTTATGCACTTTTTATTCGTCTGTTGATTTTACATATATGGTTTTGTGTTTCAGAAGTGAGCCATCCCAAACAGATTAGTTTTGCACCTCTTCAAGCGTCAATCCGTTGATTTCAACTAGTTAGGGGTCATGTATCTGTTAAACATGACCCGAGTAGTCTTTAAGTTCATTTTCAGTCTCATTTTCATGTTGGCATCGTTAAGCTCTTGGGAACTTATTTTGAATTCTTTTGATCAAGAATATTAGAATGTACGCAAAGCGCAGGTGGCATAAGATTCTGATTTTTCCAACGGATTGTCCCGAAAACTTCTTCTATGTGAAAAACTTCGCTGACACTGCGTTTTGTCAGAACGGTCGATTCTGGTTTCATCCCGTGCTTCAGAGATGCTTCTCAACAGCAGTTGAAATATTTTAAATCATGGCGGCTATGATATACCTGTATTTCTTCTCGATGCCATGACTCCTCAAGGAATCCTGTGAAACGAAAGGCTTGTCGAAATCATCGAACCGCAGACAGGAAAAAGCTGATATTCACTGTTTCTCTGAATTGCACATTATACCAATTAAAGATGATCAATTGTGCTAAATACAATTTTGAATCCTGCTTGCTCCTTTGGCAGTGGAGTAACAGTTTTCTTGAACTGTGTTCTTCAGTAGCTCTGCAAGTCATCTTTGTCTATCTTTTTGAGGAATAGAATCACCGATGCGTGAGGAATTTTCAGACAATGTGGAAATAAGCATTCAGATACCTTAGTCAAGACCCCACCTCATGATTCTACGAATTCCTCTGTCATTCCATTCGCCAATTAAATTTGCATCTTCAGCTTCCTTATCGCCACCTGTGGTGCAGCTGTTTTCATCACTTTACAGTTCGCTATAGAAATCATACACTCTTTAGAATTCCTTGTCAAAGACATGTACATAATAGACTTATTATGGGGCGCCACCTCTTAAGAAAGTTCGGCAATTCTGAACCGCTTAAAGGACTAAACTATTATTTTTTTATAATATTTGCTGCAATTAAATATCTTTGTCATGTGACAAGTTCTAAAGGAGTAATATTTCATTAATCACTCTAAACTGGGAAGAGCAATTCTTAACTACACGCAAGAACGCTGGACTCTATCATACCAGAAAAAAATAACCAAAAATTAGAGTACTACAGATCGCTTCGAGGTGTTGACATGAATGGACCAGCTTTGAAAAGCGTGCGGAGTAAAACCTCACCACGACTCATTCATTTCAAAGGACTTAGTTTCCAAGCCCGACAAGATGAAGCAAAAGCTTTCACAACTTACGCTTACCAGTAACTGGGCATCTGTTAAAGGGCATCTGTTAAAACATACCAAAAACTGTTCGGTATGCACTGTTGTGTTTATAACCACACCAAAAAATAATTTGTGCGCGACCTCGGAAGTTGGATACACAACACTTTCTCAGTTGTGGGAAAAATAGTTCGAATGTTAAAACCCAATTAAAACAGCTATAATGACATTTCACTGAAAGTCACTGTCAGCTGGAGGCTTCTGAAATGTGAATCAAATCATACGACTAGAGTTTGGAACTACATTCTAAGTCGAAGTGTGATGAAGTATATTTCTGCATTTTCCTAGCCACTGCAACGAATCCGAAACACTGTACTTAAGTCTGAAAACTTCGATTAACGAGTCAATACTTTTGTCTGGCTTTCCAGCGCAGTTTGGATCATATTTCTGTAACAGGTATCACCAAGGGACATTTGATGTCCTATTTGCTTAATGATGGCATTGTTACATTCTAAAATTAGTAGCAGGGACTGCAAGAAGGTGAGGGTTGATATTTTCCATACCAAGAGAGGTAAGCTTCAACATCATGGTGGTAGACAATGAAAAAGATAAGAATAGCCTTGCACAGCGATTCTATACTTCCTGTAGCAGCGAAACAAACTCGACTTATATACTCATATACTTTTCAAGGCTCTCTGACAAACACTACATCGCCTTCTTAATTCGATGCTTTCCACAAAGTTTACTTATCGCACCTTTTTGTAGCAATGAATCTTCCTTTTCCTTGTGTAGTTTCCAGACATCATACTCATGCAGTTGGGTCTAGTTTCCTCACTTTGGCAGTTGAACACTGAATGATTTTGTGTCTTGAATAAAAATATTATATCACAATGTCAAAGGGAAGCGCACCGCGTGGAAGCATTAATTCTCATTCTCTAAAGAAGACATATACCCCCAATCAACCTACTCTATGTGCTCAGCACGACACCAACAGACACGGACGAAAATTTAAGACAAGCATTAGCTTAAAATGTACGATTTACCTCCTCTTCAAAATACATAAGCAGCAACGCAGCAACGTGATTCATTCCCTGGCAGTATCCCAGATCCTAAAGCATGAGACCTGAAGCTCAGAAGCCGCTTATTAAATATCAAACCAGTTTTGAAACGTACTGTATTGTAAACCGCATACGCGGTGAGCACGTGGAACAGCGCTTGTTGCCTAAAAATCAAAAAGTATTGTCAAAAAGTGAAAAAGAAGAATAAAAATGATGAGAGAAATGATGGTTCACAGCTCACATCATGTCGTATCGGCGACGGAAAAAGATATGGTTTCGATAGGTGCGATTTATGTCCAGGTCGATCTGCTTTACGTCTTTCGACAACAGATACGAACGGATGCGC